CTATATATTAAATATATAATACATATATTTATAAATTTTAAATATATATTAATTTTAATAATAAGCTAACAATATAGAAATAAAAGATAAAATGTCCTAAATTAACTATATAATGCCTTTATCCCCAATCGTCTGCCCTGTTTATATTAAATAATAAGTTCTACACCTTTAAAACTTACTCCAAAAGTAAAAAAAAATAAAAAAGGAAAGCGCAGAATTTATTTTCAAAAACTGCACTCCCTCCTCCACATTCCTACTCCTCAACAGTATTATCTACAAACAAACAGAGAGCAAGACAGAACTCTCCTTTACTTTTTCTAGTTAGTTTTAGCTAGCTGAGGCAAAAAAGTTCCCTAAACTATCGTTTTTTCCCTTTCTTTAAACCTAATCTAAACTGAACACCAGAAGAGCAACAACAGCTTGCCCCTGTAGCCCAGTGGGCCGGGCCTGGGCCATAGCATTTCCAGCACCAAAAAACAACAGTCAAAAACTAAATAAGCCAAAGTACAGCCCAGAAAAGCTTTTCTAAATTTATCTCTCTCTGAAAATAACAAAAAATGTTATTATTTAATATTGTTTAAGTTTGCTTGTTTAATAAACAAGTTTTTTCCACCTTTCTCCAAAAAAATATCTTTCCCAAGCTAGTTCAAAAGAAGAGCCAATTAAATCTGCTTTCCTAAAAAAACCTTTTAAAAGTTCTTTCCCCCAAATTTACCCTAAACCAAAACAACTACATAAAATCAACTGTAATTATAATAGCAGTTGGATAGCAATGCCCCAGTAGTTTTACAAAGTTTGGGATCCTGATAAATAAAGGAGATACCAGTATAGGTAGCAGAGCGAAATGAAGAATCACAGGTACTCTCTTTTGCCACTTCTCTTTTCTGTGGCTCATAAATGCTCTACAAAGATGAATGATGACACTCAGAAAGGTCTGAGAACCATATGCTGATAAATGTTAATTATTATCTGTGTCTATTTCAAGCAAACTCAGGAATCAGAACAGATACAAATGAACCCTCAATTATGTCTGGGTACATCCAGGAAAATCAGAAGTCCTTTTGCAGTTGTCAGTTTACCAGCCACTACTGCCCTATATACATAATTTGCCCAATTACGTATAATGAATACATGCACACATACATAAGCATATATATGCATATATACATATATATCTTGCTGAACATTAAGATTGCTCTTTAAGAATGATATAACACCCTTGGATTCCATATCTTTGGGGAACAATAGAGGTCTAAATGCTCACTTACTGTTGTGTTCATTTCATCATGGGGAACTATGTGAAAATGAGAAAGTTTACCAAGAACAGACAAAGAATTCCACACAAGACAATTAAATCCATAATGACAAGATGAAGACTACAGAAGGAGACCCCATAGGCAGCAGAATGCCAATGCACACTATTTACTGAACACACCTGAAGTAGAAATAAGCAGTCATGGCCAAACAGCAAAGAAAAATAAAGAAGGTGTCCTTCCAAAAGCTAAAGACATATGCAAATGAAAAAAAAAAAAAAAAGACCCACAAAAAAAACCCAAACAAAAAACCAAAGTATCATAAACACTGATATATATGCTGTTGTCACTACTATGAGTCTGAGACCTAACTACTGAGAATCAAATATTGCTCAATATGCTTTTTTCAATCTATCAGGAAGGAAAAAAATTGTCATTGAGTCTGAAAATGACAAGAGTATAAACTGAACTCTCAGGGAGGTAAAAGTCACTGGAGAGAAGCTGAACAATTTATATCCTTTGTTCACTGTGGAAGATGGGTGTGATGACCCTGAAGGGATGCCAGGTGCCTGCCAAGGCTGGTCTAGCTCAGCCCTCACCTGGACAGGGGAGAAAAAATATAACAAAAGGCTCATGAGTTAAGGATGGGGGAGATCACTCACCCATCACCACCATCATGGGCAAAAACTCCTCCCTGTCCTTTTGCACTGATCTTGATATCTGCAGAGTTGTTTCTCTCACATATTTTCGCTCCTCTCTGTGGCTGCACTTGTGCAGGGTTTGTGGTTTCCCCTTCCTAAATAAATGACTCCATAGGCATTACCACTATCACTGATGAGCTCAGTCTTGGCTAGTGCTGGGTCCATCTTGAAGCTCCCTGGCATTAACTCCATCAGACACAGGGGAAGTTTCTGGCAACTTGTCACAGAAGCCACCCTTCCAGCCCGCCCCTTCTACCAAAACCCGGCCACAGAAACCCAACATGGATAAATCAGGGAAATTATCCTTCCAGAGTCCTTTTGGGGTGTTCAGGGAACTTGGCAGACACTGCCTCTAAAACTGAAATAGCTGGGAGGGGTTATGGTACAAAAGACAGGTGAATGCAGATGAATCTCCAGGATCTGAAGGATTTACCCATGAATTCTAAGAAAACTCAGGGATGAAAGATCTACTAAAAGCAGCATGTCATATGTCTCTTCACTATTCCTCTGTACATGAAAACCAGGTGTCAAACTTGATAGCATTAAGAAAGGTTCAAGGGTATCCAGCAACTTAAAACTGACATCTGTTTCCAGGAGAACAACTAGACATTTTAAGAGAGAGAAATAGTATCTACCTGAATAAATATGATCTTAACAGTGAGCGTTAATAAAGCTCTCAGAATTCTTCTAAAGGGGTCAGAGATCTATAAATGAGGAGCATCTGAATGATACAGTCAACTCAGTTTTTTGAAAGCTATTTGACAGAACATTTTAATTAAGGCATTTTAGGAAAATCAAGCAACACAGAACTGTCGCTGGCATAAGAAGGAAGATGATGAAATGGATGAGAATAAGATTTAAAAGATGAGAACATCACTGGATGGAAGAAAATGGTCAGATCTTGTACAGGCAGAATTCCATACTATTCTGTATATTCTTAAATGTCCTGAAGAAGGGAGATAATCAGCAAGGTGACAAGGCTTTGCCGGCTATAGGAGGTTATGCAAGGCAGTTTGGATGAGGAAGATTGCATTGCCTACAGAAAGATGAACAGTACAGTGTACATTTGGGGAAGAATAATCCTATCTTCACATCTTGGGTCATTTCTAAGCTGAGCCAAAGGGGTCTTCAGGAACAAAACCTTTGCATTATGATAGACAGCTGCATGAAAATATCACTTAGCAGTAGTAATTCAAGGAAAAAAAAAAAAAAGTTAGGAATTATTAAGAAATAAATAGAGAACAGACCAGAAAGGTTTGTTTTGTTCAAGTCCATATGCTACTGTAAAAATCCAGGCTTCTGGTCCATTTCTCTAGGATAGGATACTCCAGAACTGATTATCTGGAGATGACCAAGGATGGTCAGAGGTATCTTGTGATTGCCATTACAACATACAAGGAACCCATCCATTGAATATCCAAGAATCTTATTTGGAAAAACACATGACAGAGTGGAAAGGTAAGAAGGGGTTTGCAGAACTGAGAAGTCTGGAGAAAAGTAGAGTGAGATTGACTTTTCCCTGGCTCTTCTAATACAAGCCTTGAAGGATATTGGAAGATAGTAAGATCTTCATTCAAAAAAAACCAGAGGAACTAGTTCTTCAGACAGCCTATGTGGACCTGTGGTGGTACTCCTCAAATGACTTTCTGGGTCAAGCAAATTGTAAAGAGGCAAGGAGAGACTGGAAAAAACTTTGGAAGAGATGCTGTAGAGTCCACTAACTAGAGAAATCCCATAATCTGACTTGAAAATGATTGAAGGCTGGGACTCATTACACTCTTCTGTTTTTTCCTGAGTGTCCACTCCCATGGCTACTGTGGGAGATGGAGCATTGTGCTAAATGGACCTGTTGTCTTAAACAGTAAGTTCATCTATTACCTCATTGTTCACTAAAGTCAGAATTTAAAAAAATGAAGTTGTTAACAGCTTAAATATATTTATGGCTTTCAAGCTCCCCAAGCAAATGTAATGTTATGAGAATTTAGGACCAGAAGGAACTTTAAGAACCTAATCCACCACTTTGTTCCATGGCAAAATCAATTCCATTGGTGTCCTTAGTGACAAATTTGTCTTACCCAGCTCCTAAAGCTTTCAATGATGGAGACTCAATGGCCTCATAAGTAAAGTAATCTATGTAAGTCTCATTGTTCATACTATGAGAAGGATTTCTTTCCCTGTCTAACCAGAATCTAATCAGCTGTTGTTTGCTGCAAATCCTTAGTTAGCTGCAAGCCTGAGCTAAGATTGGAGGCGTCCTAGACTTCTGAAGAATTCTGTCCAGTAACTTCCATGAATCTGGAAATAGCCCGAAAACAGGCTTGGTTTTTAATGTAGCTAATAGTTACTTGTTTATTAGTTTGGTTAACATGACCGAGTGTGGTCAGGGATTATTTTATATCCTTTCACAGTTTTTCTTGTGATTCTAATCTATTATCTCTTTAGCATTTTCTGGCTTCAGGTAAACTTTCCCTGAGAAGTACTTTCTAAACACAGAATGTTTTGACTTCGCTGCAGCAAAACCTATTTGAAATGTGTGCCTAAAGAAAAAATGGAACAAAAAGATTTCTTTTAAAATATTACTGAAGACCAGCACTTAGTATTTTCTTTTCTGTAAGGTCTAATTCTGGTTTTGCCTGTAATTCACTGAACTGTATGTGTTTGAGATGAAATGCTTGAGCTTTCTTACATGATGCTACTCAGTTCAAGCCAACTCTGCTTCCTGCATTAATTGCATTCCCCATTCTCCAGGTTTTGAGATTTGAGAACAGGGTTCTTTCTGCCTGGCAGAAATGCTAAGCACCTACATATTCAACTTCAGTAGATGTGAGCTGTTCTTATAAAACATAGTGTGCACTGAGTTGTGAAAGCCTTTATAAAAAAATCAGTTCAATTGGGGCATTTCAGCAAAACCTCTTAAGCCGCTTAAGTATCATAAACACTGATATATACTGTTGTCACCATTATGAGTCTGAGACCTAACTATCCCTGCGAGACACACTGGGAAAGCTTTTCACTATGATGCAGTCCACTAGAGAGGCAAACTTACGGGTCTCCGGAGCTGTCCGGAGGAAAGTGCCGGTCCCCGGCGTCTTTCGGCTGTAGCCGCGCTCCAGAGGATAACGGTTGCCGCTCCGGTGTAGCGTGCGCGAAGTAGCCGGTCTTTCGCTCCGGGAGCCGGAGAGCGCGGTAGCGGGGAAGAGGCGAAGAACGAAGCCGCAGAGAGCCGGGCTTCTGTGCGCAGCCTTCGGGCTGCTAGAGGACGGTGCTTGCCGCTCGCCTGCCCCTTCAATTCTCTGCTAGCACGCTTATGGAAGGTGTTGCAGGACAACTTTCCCGGGTGTTGGCTTCGTCCTGATGCAGACGTCCTGGAGAACTCTTGCTCGTCCCCTGAGCTTCCGAGATGCAGAAAACTCGATGGCAGCTGCAGAAAAGAAGGGCTGCTTTGAGTTGGTCGAAAAGCAAGAGCAGAGACAGCTCCTTGTGTTTGGGAGTGAGCAGCTGCTGGATTTTTGCAATTGCCTTCACTGCACACAGAACCCCGGTGCTCTCTGTTGCTGCGTTTTTCGCCTTCTGTGAATTGCACATGACTGAAGCTGAGCCAGGCTACTCAGCTTTGCCGCTTTTCAGCATCTGTGCTCCACTTATGGAAAACGTTGCTTTTAAGGAGAGGCTGGAATAATGGAAGGATCCCAGTCCCTCCCAGCATGTTACCACTCGCTCCCAGTTGCCCCCAGTTCAGTCCCAGTTCTCCCCTGCACGGTCCTGATCGTTCCCGATATGGTTCCAGTTCCCCCACTACGGTTACAGATAGTGCCTGTAGATCCCAACTGTCCCCAGCATGTCCGTAATCATTTCCAGGCACTACCAGTGGCCCCAGTAAGATGTTCATTATCCCAGTATGATCCCCCAGTCATGGCCAGACTATCCCAGTTGCCTCCAGCATGCATCCAGTTATTCCCAGGTCCTGCAACGGGCTTGCAGCATGACCTCAGTAGCTCCAAGGAGCGTAATGTATGAGCGCAGTTGTTGCCCTGATTTTTAAAAGTGTTAAGTTTCCTTTTAGAGTTCTTTGGAAAGTTTTAAAGTTCTCATGAAACTGCTTGAGCCTTCTGAGAACGTTTTCATCTTTGAGAGTCAGAGCTCCACACCATTTCAGGTGGAAATAGAATCGTTTACATCTTTCTCTGTGGGTAGAGAGAAATGGTCTTTGGACCAGCGTGGTTGGAGAGGTAGTAATTCCATCCTTCAATCCACAGTCACCTTCGGAATTCTCGAAATACCTTCCCAGATGTTGGAAGAAAACAGGCTCCTTTTCGCTTTGGAACTTCCCAAGCGTCTGTGTACTCATTTCTTGTCCAATAGCGACATCTGTTGGCGCCGCGTGTGAACGACACCTGTGGGTGGCGTCTTGATTAACCCTCTCTCTCCTGGGCCTGACTGCAGCCCTTGTGGGCATGTCTGCTTCTATGGGGCCTGCTGGCAGCTGCCAACAGAGGCAGCCTAGAGGAGCAGAGTCCAGTGTCCCCCAGGAGCCCAAAAATAGGGATCCCAGAGAGGGCAGAGCGCTGCCAGTGGCGGGACCCTCAAAAGCCTGGAGAAGGGAGGGGGCGCTTCTTGGAGTCCCTGCTCCCCAAAGCAGAGAAGAAGGGGAGAAGGGAAGCCGGGAGCCCAAAAATCCCCGGCATCCCTAAATAGGGAGACCCAAGAAGGGGGAGCTTTTGGCATTCCTGGGACTTCCAGCAGTCTGGGGAGAGCAGGGGCCTGAGTATAAGTGTAACCCACCCACCCCCCCCCCCCCCCCGCCCAAGCAGCTGGGACAGGGGGAATCCCGAACACCAAAGGGGAGGGAGCAAGGACAGAGAACTCCAGAGAGGCGTTTCCAGGGCTGAATGTTGGTATTCGGGAGGTTTAATGGAGCCCAGATGGCCGGTGACTTTCAGAGATGGCCTTGGGCAGAGGACTTTCCAAGTCAACGTGCTCATCCCTTCTTTTTCCCAAACCAGGATTTCCCATTCCCAAGCCCTTGGAGGCTGCGAGTAAGAGGAAGATGCCCCGGGACACCCAGGCAAGGGAGGAGGAAGTCACCGCCCCTTTCCCCCTCTCTCCTGCTCCATCTCCCAGCCCGGCATGGCCCCTGGCTGCAGGACAACCCCCCTGACACACCGTCCTGCCACTGGAAGATCTCCTTCCCTCTGGCATGGAGGTAAATCCCATCCACTCCTTGTCTTTCATCCCCCAGGCAGTCAGGAGCTGAGGATGGAGACCAGAGAGGACAAATCCACATGGCAGAACCTCGTGCAAGAGGCCGTACTGAGCGGCTCCACGGCACAGGAAGCCAACAGGGATCCTGCACGAGCAGGGGCTGCAAAGGCAGATTGTGGGGATCTGAGGAGGAAAGACCCACTAGGTCTTTGGTTTAGGGCAACCACAGGACGAGCCCCCCACCCCCACCCCCCCAACAGCAAACCCCCACAGCCCCTCCTCCCGACCTGCTTCGGGAAGAATGTCCTTGGAGAGAAGTGGAAAACAAAAACCCTGTTTTTTAACAGACAGAAACAGTCCCCAGCACAAAAAAATGAACAACATCAGAGTACAAAAACCCTTTCACTGCTCTGAAGAGATGATAAATTCAGAAAGTCTCTCGTGGTCGCCCAGTTCTCGGTCTCTGGCGCTGGGGATGGCTGCTGCAGGTCACAAAATGCAGGCAGGTGTTTCTCGGTGTTTCCCGGGTCCCAGTCCGGAGCTGGTTGGAATGGTATTCAGGAAAAGGAAAGAAAAAAAGCAAGGGCAAAAGCAAAAGCAGGAGAGAGAGCAAAGAGCCAGCCAGCAAGCAAGCCCTATCCTCTCTCCTAGACACAGCCCGTGGGGGGAGGGGGGTGAGCCGGCTGCTAAACGAGACAAAACAAACATTCACTTTTCGGCCCCAGTCCGGAAGGCACACTTCCCAGTCACAGCCATTTCCATTGACTGCTCCATTGATGCCGGTGGCTGCTACACTGTACTTACATTTTATCCTGCTTTCTATTCCACTCTTCATTCTCTCCATTCAAGGGTTGAATAAAGTCCAAAACTTCAGAGCTGAATTTGCTGGTAGAGTATGAAACTTCTACTGTTACTATGTCCTGGAAGTGAAAGTCCAATGTAATTACTGCACCAGGCAAATGTGGGAGGGGTGACAGCTCTCTGAGTCATAAGAGAGGAAAATGGAGAAACCTTATATCCAGTTTTTGGCTTGTTAGTGTCACTGCTATAAAATTATGATGTGCAAAATATAGGACTATAGAGCTAGTATGCATTCTACTGGACTCTTCATTTATTAACAAAATGACATTGACAGCTGAGTAATAATTAGCTCTGCCAATTCAGTCTTTGCACTTTGTGGAATGATATTCTATAATCTTGAGGTCTCTTCTTGTTTTTTTGGTTTTTTTTTCCCTAACTGCACAAAGTTAGATGCTTTCATAAATACAATATGCAACTTGGTTCGTTTTGGTGGATCATGAGGTGCACTTATGCACATGAAGCTCCCTAATCTGTACATCCACGCAATGGTGTGACACTGAGACACTGACATAGAAATTGAAGTAGTATGCCATTAAATACCAAGAAACCCCACTGAAGAAAGATTTTCTCTTAGCTGGCAGTGTGCATAGCTGCACTTGGGACAAAACTGATAAAATGGGGTTAAGGGAGTAGCTGCTGAATATTCCAGCTTGAGATGATATGTGACACAGAACTTGCCTTGGTATCAAAATATTGCTAAAAAGCTGGATGAATAACTTAGATGAATAGGAGAAATGAGAGTCAGACAGGAGACTGTACATCTCACAGGACAAGAATTAAGCAGAAAACAAGTCTATACATACAGGTATTGATGCTATACCCTGGAAAATTTTAAAATTATTATTTATTTCTTGTTTTATAGGGTATTGTTTATGGACTATGTACTTCTGCAAAGACAGTGCTTCAGTGGTTTTAGTAGGTAGTGCTGGATTTCTCTAGAACATGTCCCACATGGGTCATGGGAACATCAATGAGCTCAAAGGCCCATGTTGTGTCTGTATCACCTTATTCAATCAGAATGCCTCGATGAGCTATCAAATACTAAACATGCTTAAAAAACAAACAAGTCACCTTGAAATATCTGTTACATGAAAATAATTTTATGTTATATTGGTACAACACAAATATTTGTTATAAACACGTGGAAGAGGGACTGGAAAGAAGGGTGTAAAAACCTTACCTGGGCATGTTGACTACTGTCCTCAGTTAACTATATGACACCTTTATCCCCAATTGTCTGCCCTGTTTGTATTGAATAATAAGTTCTATACCTTTAAGACTTATTCTAAGAGTAAAAGGAGGGAGGAAGAAGTGCAGAGTTTATTTTCAAATACCTAGGTGCAGATAATCGTTATATACAACAAACCAAATAAAAGACTATAAAACAAAAAATTCAACACTTTAAAAAAATGGCAATAGCAAAAATTATCTTCTCAAATAATATAAATACTGTAAATCCAAACTTAATACCGTATACATCCATAATGGAGCAAAAACTTAGAAGACTTGGGCCACATGAATACTTCTACTTTAGCAATAATAAAGCGAGATGACAGTGAGGAGACTGTACTCAGTATAGCAAAAAGCTCCAAACATATACAAATTATATACATAGCCCAACACATGCCAAAATTACAGCAATAAAAACACGGCTACAAAAGCTAAAAGACAAAATTTTTAAAAAATCGTAAGAAATATGGGTGCGTCCAAACATAGAAAGCCTCAGTTTGCATCACACCTGAGTCACTACAGTCACCTTGGTCCCTCAATTCTCTTGTGTCATGTTGACTTCAATCACACCAGTTATTTATTTGATAGTACTCACCTCAGTCACTCACCCAAGCCTGCCTGTCACTCCATCAGCTCCTCTCAGCTCATTTTATCAGCCACTTAAATCCTGACAACTCCCAAGTTAATCAGCTCCTTCAGGTGGACCTGCTGGGCAGTCACCTACTGCCTCCAGCATCTCCCTCAGCTCCACTAATGGCAAAATGTATGACAGAACAGTTGCCCAAAGTGATTTGTACAAAAACTTCTTTTGAATTTCAGATTCAAAAGATACAAGTATCAAAATTTTTAAAACTTTGATACTTGTAAATATAGAAAGACATTTCACTGAAATAGTCACAAATACATGTTTTGTAACTGAAGTTTAATATACATTTTTACAGGTAATAGCGATATGATAGTTTAAGCAGAGAAGTGTTTTCTGTTTTCAACTTAAGTTTCAGCAAAAACATTCCAGTTATTGCTTGACTAATTCCGCATGGAATGAAGGGATTATTCATATGTCATGCTCTTATTTGTGTGTCTAAATAAATTTAGGAGAATGCTTTTGGGAATATTTCCAGAGTTTGATATTCTTGTTCCAAAAGCGGTCCCAAGACACTTTGGGAGAGGAAAGAGCAAGCTCACATGATATTTTTGCATAATATTTTCCCAGGCTCTGACCATCTTTAGTTTAGGCAATTTTTAGAGCCTATTGTCATGGTGCCAGCATGACACATCAGCCAGGGCACCAGGGGCCCTGTGG